ACCTTCCCAGAACTGGTACTTTGCAGCCTCGACCTATGTAAGCAGAACACTGACATAACTGCCATCTGGGCAGGGCCTGGTATATGCACATTGGCCTCCAGTCAATATTTTGGACAAGGAATTTCCACTTACCAGCTTTTGGCAAGAGAACTGTGCCTACACACCATAAACAAGATTGATATGAGAAGCTACTCCTTAATCGGGCTCTGAGACTTATAGAGACACAGTCTTGTTGGATAGGGCTCATATTTAGAAACTATGAAGACCTGTCTGATCTAATTACTTAGACTATTCAATTAACTGCATAGGGTTTCAGACTGACATACTGTTAAGCTGGGGATAGAAGAATGGGCCACTGGAGAAGCTCCCTGAAGAGGAAGTGTGATTAAACAAACAAACAATCGTTGTAAGCTTTAGAGGCAGGTAGGACTGAGTTAGAAACTTGATTCTACCAACTGCCAATTTTGTGACTTTGGACAAGTTGCCTCACTCAGTTTGGCAGTTAAAAAGTAGTAAATAGTCTGAAATATGAAAAGTGTCCTATGATTAAAAGCATGAGCTCTCATGGCCCATACTTTTTCATTCATAAAGATTTCAAACCATCCCTATGCATTTCAAAAGGGAAAAAGCAGTCACTGCAAGACTTTGAGGGCCTAGGCTCTAGAACTCACACAATGTTACTTCCCAGCACCACATTAAATAAAGCAAGTCACAGGCAGGCCTGGATTCAAGGGGTAGGAAATTTCTACTTCCTTATGAGAGTGGCTGCAAAATACTGTGTATGACCCCGTCAGCCACAGAACCAGGAATTCTGGGCCAAGCACATTACAAGCATTACATATATATTCCTCCCTAAAAGACTCAAACTAGGTATCATAACACCCGCCTTATAGAGATGAAAAACAAGGTGCAGAGATGTTAAGGGACTTACCAAGATTAACTACGTGTTAGTAGCAGGGCTGGCTTTTAAATGCAGGTTTATTTGACTCAAAAGCCAACACTGATACCTGATATATTTTGAAGGCCAATCATGAGAGATGCCATTTCTACAGAAAGGAGCTAAGAAGGATAAATCACTTTATCCCCACATTTATTTTCAGTACTATTCCAAAAGAAACACTGTGAGTACATAAACACTCTATGCAGGGGTCAAGGTGCTCCCAGGTCTGTTCCACACCTGCCTCAACAGTCACAGACTCTCAGAGGGCTACAGGCATATGTTCACCACTCCTCCAAAAATATCCAAACACATGAATCTAAGAGACTTAAGAATAAGCTCAGACACCTCTCCGTCTATTAACTTTCCCAGCCAATACTCTCAAAAAATAGGAAATGTATTTAAATCAAGTGCCCAAAGAAACCCCAGTTAGCCTGTATTCCTTGAGGTAGATGGTGGTGGTCAATCATTTCCAAGCCTGGGTTTTACTCACTTAGCTCTGTGTTTTGAAAGCTCACTAAGGTAAAGTCAGTTAAATGAGTGTGGTAGGCAAAATTCTAAGATCATGTCCCCACCAAAGACTCTTACCCTTAAATGATTCCCTCCCTTGTGAATATTGTGGGACACCACCCCCATGAGTAGGTTTTGTACATGGCAAAAGGGATTCTGCAGCTATAATTTAGCTTACTCATCAGCTGGCTCCAGGTTAATTCAAAAGGAGATTTTTCCAGGTAGACATAACCTAATCATGTGGTTTCTTCCAGAACAAAGCATTGCCTCTGTCTGTAACAAAAGAGAAAGGCAGAGATTCAAAGCAGGAGAGGAATTCAACACAAGGGAGGTTCTCCATTAATGAGAGGGAGGTCCTGGGGCAAGAATCTGAGAATGGCCTCTAGGAGCTGAGAGTAAACCTTGGCCAACATCCAGGAGGTTGGACCTCAGTCCTATAGTCACAAGAAACCGGATTGTGCCAAGAGCACGAATGGACTTGGAAGCAGATTCCTCCCCAGAGCTTCCAAGTAAGAGCCCATCCTGATTTACACCTTGGTTTCAGCCTTAGGAGATCCTGAGCAGAGAACTCAGTTAAGCCCACCTAGACTTCTAGCCTGAGGAACTATGGTATAATAAATACACTTGTTTTAAACTGCTAAATGAATGGTGACCTGTTACAAAGAGGTAGAAAACGAACACAGCAAGCCAATTCAAGTGACAGATGGGGACAAAAGGAAATCCTGACTCTTTCTCCTTTTCCACAACCCATTCTGTTGTCTCAGGAAAGGTGAAGCTGTGTTGACTAATATTAGGCCCAACATGCCCCAAACTATCCATTCTATGACATGGACGGTGTCCATTGCTAGCTGTATTAAATTTTCCAAAATAGTCTTGATTGGAAATATCATTAGACCACATATTCTCATTTTCAAGCTGACAGTCTAGTTATGCCATAATAGCATGTCTACTTGGTAAGGCATCGATGATAACATCAAAGCAATGCTTTTTGCAAAATTCTTTGTTCATAATTCACTAAGACAAAATGATAATGAACATATCTATTATTGCTATGCATGTTATTATACTACCTATAATCCTTACATCCTTCCTGACAGGTAGATGTTACTATTCCAATTTTGAGGGCAACAAAATTGAAATTTGAATGGAGTAAGTGGTCCAAATACATTGATTAGCAGAGGTAGAATTTAAGTGAATGAGGTATCATTTATTGAGGCGACAAACACTGAGCAGAAAGCAGGTTTTAGGATTGAAATCAAGAGTTCTGATTTGGATATGCCAATTTGGAGATGCTACTGATCACCCAACTATATTTTTTAATGTACTAATCATTATGGACAGAAAAATTTTGTACTAAGGAACTTGTACTTTAGCTAACGAAAGGAGATACTCGAGAAAATATTATTTACAACAGCAAAAACGTGGAGATCCCCCAAGCATTCAATAGTAGGGGAATACACAAATTATAGTGTGCACACTCTAGAACATTTTGCAGTCATTAAATTTATGATTACTCAAACCAAGTGGACTGGGAGTTATACCACCAGCTCCCCTAGTTTTCAGGCCTTCAGACCCAGAGTAAACTACACCATTGGCTTTCCTGGTTCTCCAGCTTGCAGACAGTATACTGTGGGACTTCTCAGCCTCCACCATCACATAAGCCAGTTCCCATAATAAATCTCCTCGTATATATCTATATATACATCCTATTGGTTCTATTTCTCTGGAGCATGCTGACTAATACAGCTGCCTACATATATGTGTAGTTTTCCATGCTCAGTAACAGAGCTAAGAATCAGAATATAATAAAGGAAAACAAATTAGAAAATCTGAAAGAAAAACAATGTTTTTATCACCCTTAGCGCTCAGAACAAAACAATATATTTACATATTGATACATAAAATAATTTGAAACACTTATTATGCTCATATTCTATCCTGGGTGGTATGCTATGGGAAAAGAACAATAATCAAGGAACTTATTGAATATATGGACGCAGAGTTACATAGAAGAGACATGGAAGGGAGCAGAAGCAGAAGCAGATCTTAGGTATAGGCTAGAGGACTGGTCAAAAACCAGAGACTTTTCCAGTCCCTCCTCTCTGCAAAATCCTCCTCCTGTGTTTGGCAGAACACAAGCTGAGACTCACAGCTTTTGTTCCTAACTGCTATTCTAATGCCTGCCCCTTCTCAGCCTGCCCTCCCTGTTCTGTCTGTGCCACTAAGACTACAGAGTTTAGGAAATGGGAAGAATCACCACACTGACATTTGATTGGTTATACATGGACATGAATAAGAAATATTTCTAAACTTCTGTTCCTACAACTAGATTGCAGTGTAGATTAAATCAGTTAAAGATTTTTTTTCAATTTTAACTTTGTAGTATAGCAAAATTATCAGTAAAAGTAATAACTAATATTTGTTAATCACTTGTGAATGCCAATCACTGTCTTAAATACTTTTATTTCAACCATCACAGCTACCATCTGATGTTGATACCATCGTTATTTCCATTTTCTAAATGAGGAAATTGAGATTTAGGACAATTAAACAACTTGTTTGGGATCACAGTGAGACATGGGGGGTGGGTGAAGGATTCAAACCCAAGCAGTCTAACCTGGAGCATATGTATTTAACTATCTAGAAGATCCTTTGGAGAACTCTGATTAAAGCTGTCAAAAACTTCTGATATTCAAACTAAGTCGTCAACTCCCATGAAGAGAGGCCAGAAATCTGTCTCAGTCCATGATGGTTTGACAAAATCAGGCTGGCATGACACATGTCTCTTACCTAAAATCAGAACCATAAGTGAAGAACATTATTGGACGTTATAAACCAGAGTCAGGGACTGGATTTTACATATTCTTCTCTGTGTGTATACAAGAGGGACAGATTGTGTTTAAGAACGTTTAAAGATGGGGCAAGCACCAGGAAAAACAGTGCAAGTATCATTCTGCCACACTATGTTTAGCCACATTAAGTGCTTTGACTTAATAAATGGAAATGGCCTTCCCATTGTGAAAGAAACACCAAACACTAAAGCTAAACTCAAGTCTAAACTCTGTGTCTAGAACAAGATCTCAGCTGTTAAAAAGTCTCCAGATTTTCAGAAAGTTCTCCAAAATCTGTCAGGATAAACAATAATAAATGCTCAGGTCCACAAATGAGTTTGCCATTCATTTTGGCAGTACCAGAAAGTGTACAGCCACAAATGGAATTGATACAATAAGTAACTTACTAACGTTAAAGAGATTTAAAAAGAAGGAAGCAGTAATACTGATATTGCTACATATTAAACATTTGAACATTGTTTAGACATTGATTCCTAAACACCCAGACAATGGTTATGAGTGGATGCACACAAATAATACTATTTCTTTTTATTTTTTAAGTCACATATTCAGAGAGTCAGTTAGTTACTATGGAATCACATGTGATGTCATAAATTTGACATTCTAAATGCAGACCTAGACTGAGCAACAGAAACAACAGGAAATGGAGCTGGGGAGAGGAAAACCTGCATAACAACAAAAGAATCTCAATAGTTAAAGAAATGAGTCGAACATCTCTGAAACAGAAAAAGAAGGTCAGTGAATTGAATGTCCTAGAATCTTGCCAAAGAACTGAGGAAATGTAGATACCAGTCCATCATTTGCCTCTGGAAATGCTCTGCAGCAATCACATTTCAGATGATGATCACACATACAGGCAAAAGGAGAAGTAAAGAACATGAAGAGTGGAGAAAAAGGAGATTAAATCATGTGGTATAAGTCCATCCAATAAGTCAGCACTTATTGAGCAAATGCTCATATGTTAGTGGTAAGAGGCGAAAACACAGTTGCTATCTTTGAAGAATGCACAACCTAGTAGGAAAGAGAATACATAAACAAAGTACAATTCAGTACTCAGTAAAAGTATGTACAAAAGACACAGGCAACACAGAGGGATGTTTAATACTGGGAACTTCTCCCAGGTCGTGCTGAGCTTGGTTCTGAAGAACACTGAAGGGAAAAGGAGGTTATAAGATATAAGGGTGGTATATAGACAAATACAAGTCATTTGGCAAAAATAGAACATAGAGATAGAGTGTAGAGTGGAGGGCACACAAGTTGGAGGTAGACAGGATACATCATGAGACTCCTGGGTCTCTCTAACCAAGCGAATGAAGAGTGTATCCAGAAATGAAGCATAAGCAGATTTACATTTTATAAATATCACCCTAAATAAATGGGGTAGATGGATCTAGAAGTTGAGAGGATTTAAGGCCATGAAATCTGGTCAAAAGCCACATTCTAAGAATGCAGACCCATAACGATCTGAGGCCCGGAACAGGAACGGAGAAGAGGGACTAGATCTAAAATATCTTTTGGAGTAAGCGACAGGACTTCATGGTGATAGTGCTGAGGGGGTTGATGGAAAGATTTTAGGACTAGTTCTAGGATTATACAGCTATGCCATTCTCTTCAGACATAGACTCAGTCACTCAACTAACATCAACTAGATTTTTCCTAGGTTCAAGGCACAGAGCATAAAGAGATTAACAGACTGCCCCTGAGCACGTTGGTCTATGCTAGAAGTTGAGCTCCTTAAACAGATAAATAACACTAATCTTGATTGCATTACAGCTACTGAATTGGCAGGAAACAATAGAAACACTGCTCTAATACAACAGTATTTCCTGCAGTTGAAAATGAAAACAAATATTTGAATAGATGTCCATGAAATAAGCCATTTTCTTCTGCTCCCCTACATGGTCTTCCCTATTAGTTCGTTAATAAGAGACCTCTTTTCACTCTTGATGCTATGAATAGTTAGAGAACATGAATAGAAGACATGCCTGTTGACTGATCTGTACAGGATTAAAGTGCTTGATTTAAAAAATCTATTATTGATGAGGCTCAGATCGACAGAAAATTGGTTTATGAATAAAACAAACAAGAGAAGTTTCAGTTCTACATGGCAAATGAAAAAGTTCCATAAGTAGCAATCTTCAGAGTAACAGAGAAAAGAAGTTGTTCTGTGTGAGCAGCTTCACATTTAACTCCAAGTCCTGCTGACCCCTGGGAAATTCTCCCACAGCATTTCCCATGTTACCATTTTGTAAATGATAAATGCTTCATGTCTCAAATCTATAAACCAACAAATTTCTATATTAAAAATCTGTTTGTATAGTTGTCTGATATATGTTCTTTTTACTCATGCTTGTTAGAACAGAGGAAAAATAATATCTATAATTTATATTTTTGATAGTGGCAAAGAGACAAATTCTAACTTTCATTTATCTTTTGATTCCCCAAACCCAAGGTTTCTAATGCCCCAAGATGAAAAATTAATAAACATTCTTCGTTTCCATATTAAGAATGAGACTGGACCAAGGTACTCAAAAGACAGCCTAGAAGTAGACAAATCTAGAAAGGATTCTGAGAAATCAGGAGTTCGTCTGAGCACTCAGGTGAGCTGACCTCTTCAGAGTTGGTGAGAGAATTAAAGAGCAGACAGCATAATAAAAAAATATTAGCGGGCAGGGGAGTTTGGGGAGAAAAGACTGAGCTATCAAGATTTGTATTAAGGCATACCTAACGTCCTCGTGGCAAGGTTAAGAAAATACTAGAAGAAGCTGGCCCCTGCCTACCCATCCAGCACACATCCCAATGTTCATGCAGAATAAATGGCGTAGAAACCTCTGCTCAGCCTGTGGGAGGAGACTGGCCTTTGTTCAAATCAGGGAGGGAAGGGGAGTCTGGCCATCGCATTGACCATCTTCTGCACCATCTTTCAGATGAGGCGTGCGGTCATACCGCATCACTTGCTGAGATGCTGCCCCATGTGGGGTCACTCGTCATGTAGACGCTGCCTTTGTGCAGCTGAGGGAAAAGCGCTTCTTGGCCCCTGCTGCACGATACGTATTTATATTCACATGTGCCTGTTGTGGGAGCAGGGCTAGCAGATCACCGTGATCAGGGTGAGCCGAGACCAAACTACTGACTTTGGAGGGGAGCTACAGGCAATCTGGGTGAGGGGAAGGATACCGGGATGGAAACTTCCACTTGCCTCTCCATGGTCTCCTCCATCCTGTTCCTCCCAAAGGCAGTGCTAGAGGGCGCTATTCCCTCTTCTGCAGCTACCTGGGAGACCCGCTACAGCCTTGTTGAGGTACCAGGGGCCTTCATCTTTGTAATCTGGTCAAAAATATTGGGTATGTCTTTTCAGCATCTGCTAACAAGCTTATCCTTAAGGGCAGAAGTGGGGAAAAGGGAGGAAAAAGGCTCAACTCTACTAAGTTCTGCATAAGAGGAGTCACAGGTGAAAACCTATGAGATATCAGACTTGTTTCTTGGTTTTGGATGCTCTTCCAGGTAGATTCCCACTTTATTGCTCCTCACAGAAGTTAGGATTGGGCCAGAGCTAGAATAATACACAAGGGCCAGGACTGAATTACACGTCATAGAGGGCAGGGGCCTTCTCACTGATCACTGCTATATTTGGCTTGCCATGGCTGTTTCGTAAGCATATGTGTGGGAGGACTCGGTGGTGGGGTATTACACTCCTGGGTCTCTTCTCTCCTTGAAAGGGATCACGAGAATTAACCTTGCTGAAGACAGACTCTCGAGGGTACCTAGTGAGAAATCAGTGGTCTCGAACTTCACGGAGCCCGTCCACCAGAGCTCCATCAGGAGATGAGTCCAGAAGCAAGAACACAAGCCTTAAGGTAGAGATGGGAATGAAAGGGAAGAGTACATGCCATAAGAATAATAATAATAACATAGACTGATGCTTTCCATGCGCCAGGCCCTGTTCCGTGTACTTTATATCTTTCAGCTAACTTAGCCCTCACAGACTCCCACCCCCATCAATCCCCAGAGTAAGAAAACCGAAACACAGAGTAACTTCCCTAAGATTTCACACTAGTAAGGCTCATAGAGCTAGATTAAAACCTAGGATCTCTAGGTCTATAAACTGCACATTGAATGATTAAACTCCATGGTTTCTCCTTCCTTCCTTCACACATTCAAAAACTATTCATTGAGTACCCAAGACTCAGAAGAGGGGGTGAAAATGTCAACAAAGGAGACAAACTGTTGAAGAGTATTAGGTTGTGTGACGCTTTGAGCCCTTAACTAGGCCTAGTCGCATAAGAAGAAAAAGTTTGTTGTGAGAATTAGTTTTTGGATGCAGAGCGTGACACAGGCCCAGACACTGGGAGAACCAATCCATCTGTCTCTGTGAGGACTGGCTCAATAATCTAACCAAGAACATGCCCTTTGAAACGTGTGAAATAATCACAAAAACTGGAATAATATATGGATGCTTAATAATCTATCTCGTACCTTAGTGAAGGAGTCCTTTCTCTAGAATGACTAGAACCAGTTCCTATTTAGGAAGATGATTCTCTCCAACTGAGCTTCACTGGCACAAGAGGTTCTGAAGGTGATGGGGAGACACTTGATTCTCCAGCCTACTGACCTTCCCAGCACTCACTGCATTAATCACAGAGCAAATGTGGAGACGGATGCCCCTGAGGTGCTTTGCAGAGCCTTCTGGTGGGAACTTCTGGTCTAGCTGCTCATCACGTTAACTGGAGGTCACAGATGGAGGCAGTGGCAAGCAAGGTCCCTTCCTCAAGCCTTCTGTCCTACCTGAAGGTCTCTGACTGAGCAGGTATATGTGAAGAAAGTGACAGAACTTTGCAAACTATGTGCCAGCTACCTAGGGGCAAGGAAGAGGGTCCCCCTACCCTATCTACTCCAAAAGAAAAAAAAAAGTGTGAGGTGCTGATGGAACAACTGGGGGGGAATGAAAGCAGTCTGTCTCTGGGTCCATGTAACAGAAATGTCTAATATATGGAGCCTTGAAACGTCTCAGCCCCTTTAAGCCCTACTTAAAGGAGCTGAGATGAACCAGGATTCACCTAAGAGCTGGGAATGGAACACAGAGAAGGGGACAGCTCCTTGACCCAGCTGGGCAGAGGTGAGGACGGGGACCCTAGGCGGGCATCTAACTCAGAAGCCCACTTTCTTGCTCCAGCCCCCCAGTAGCTCCAAGACCTCCCGGACTTCATCCACCTCCCCTAGCCATCAAGAGTCACCAAAGCCACTGTCAGCACAGCGCTCGCCACCCACACCAACCATGCCGCTCGACTCACGTTCTTCCACGACCCCGGAGGTCCAGCTCCAGACCGGGTCCCGGCGCAGCACCAAGATGGCTGAGAATTCCGACGCCTGGTCTCCCGGCCTGGGGCGGGAAATCCAAGCGGGCCAGTACACACGAGAGTTGCGGGACTCGCGAAATTCCAGGGATACGCACCAGCGGGAATATCCGCGCACGCCCCCCACTGAAAGGAAATCCTATGCCCAGCGCAAGGCTCTCTACCCGTCACAGCTGGATCAAGACTGTATGCCTGACCTGGTCAGGCAGTGAGAGGAAGAGGCGGACGAGAACGATGCCTACTGGGCATCCGTGAGAACACTGTACGAGAAGACACCGAGCTGCTCGCGCCCCAGGCTGGTGAGCAGGGCCCACCTCCCCTGGTACCCGGGTTGCCGCTCCACGCAGCCCCACGGCCGGACCTCTCTCAGCCTCCCTCCTGTGCATGGTATAGGGAAGTTCACCCAGCCCCCTGCTTCTCCTCCCTGAACCTACCCCTTGGCACAGTAGCCCCCAGGACCCAGCCCTTGGCTGTCTCCAGCATCCCAGTCCTCCAAGCCGGGACCCAAGTGTTTCCTTCCCACCCTGCCCTGGGATGAGGCCCATTCCTGATCCCTTCAGGTCTGTGTGACTCGTCCTCCTGTCGGTGCCCCTCTCTGCAGCCCAAACCCAAGCATGCCATCACCATCGCTGTGTCATCCCGTGTGCTCTTCAACATGGTGGACAGCAGGAAAATCTACAAGGAAGAGGGTCTGGAAAAGTACATGGAGTATCAGCTTTCCAATGAGAATGTCGTGCTGGCCCCAGGGCCGGCCTTCCGCTTTGTCAAGGTATTCTGCAAAGCTGTCTTCGGCCTTCCAGGACTCTGGATGGCAGGGAAGGACTCATGCTAATCCCTGGGATCTCATCCAGGTTTCCTTATAATTCCTAATCCACCCTTGTCATTCTTGCCTTTTTTAAGTCTACCCCAGGTCAGTTTATATTTTCACAGAAGCTTCCACACTGTTGAGGGAGGGACTGCAGCCCTAGATTTGGAATGCTGAGCTTCCCTAAGTGGAGCCCAAATTCTGAGACCTGTAACAGAAGCTTTTGTCCTCTCCATAGAAGGAGCAGTAACCAGAAGCAATAATGAGTTTATGATTCCAAGCAGTAGAAATAAAACACCCCATTCAAATAAGATTAAATTCACTTTCGCTGCTCTTGCCCCAAACACAGCATATTAAGAAACTCAAGATGCTCTTGGCACTTAGGGGCTTGACTTTAATAGAGAAAGTAAGGTTCTTGGAACTTACACTGAAATGTATAGCACTTATAGCTCTGATCCCCTATATAACTTATACAAATATTACACAATGACATCATAACCAGGCAGAAACAAATGACACCTCCATGTGTTGTAAGTAGAAAGTAGTTATGAGGCATAGTGGAAGCATGAGAGGAAACCACAAACCTATTCTAAAGACTCATGTTTTAAAAAATATACAAAATGCTCACTTTGGCAGCACATGTGCTAAAACTGGAACAACACAGAGACCATTAGCATGGCCTCTGCACAAGGATAACATGAAAATTCTTGAAGCAGCCTATACTTTTCACAATAAAAAATAATCATCAGATCAAGAAAGGCAGGTTTTATGAATCAAAAACAAAAATAGACAAACCACGAAAGGGTTAGCCTGATCCTATCTATGTACCTCACAGAAATAATTCTAGTAAACCAAATGTTGTAACTATTTTCAACAAACATTACCCATCTTTCAGTAAACATTAACTGAGGTCCTATGTATGCAAGGCTGAAAATACTGAAATGAATGGCATAACCCTGACTTAAAGGAGCCACAGTCTCTCAGTGAAGAGTCTTCAGGGCTTGAACTGGACACCTATGGGATCCTTTCTATCCAGACCCCCAATGCCCACTTTGCCTGGCCCTCCTTACACACATTTGTGTTTGTAACCTTCAGGCACTGCAGCACGTCAATGCTAGACTCCGTGAGCTGTATCCTGATGAACAGGACTTATTTGATATTGTTCTGATGACTAATAACCATGCCCAAGTGGGAGTGCGGCTTATAAACAGCGTCAATCACCATGGTAAGTAAAATAAATACCGTGTGGAAGAACAGCTCGCTGCTCTGGAAGAGAGAAGCCATGTTATTTTGCTCACTGTGGCCTAACTAATGCAGTGTCTGATGGTGACACCCCCTTCTGCGTGAGGAATGTTTATTTGCCTATGTCAGAACAAGAGAGGCCATGTTCATTTTTAACTTCAGCACAGAGTTGGGCCCAAAGCTCTGGACTTAACTTGTCAAGTGTGAATTTCAAAGTCTTAATCCCAGGTCCTGCAATATATTTCTCTGTTTTATGTTTTTCACTTCTGAACTTGACTTCAAGGAGCCGTCAACCCAGGGCTTTCTCTGTCTCACCACAGACGCATGTTAAAGGTTTAAAGGTTTTTACCTTTCCTTTCCACTCTTAACATCTGACTCGCCCTGGCTGATCTCCCCACACATCAAATTCATACTCATGCCAGCAAAACTGTCTTTATTCCTTTACAGGGAAAATTGGTCTGACACTAGTCTCTTCATAGCATTTCCATTAGTGTGCTGGTGACTTTAAGGGGAGGTCCCCATTTTTCCTCTTATGAATTTACCTGACTTCTTATGTGGGGACCTTTAGCCCATTTTCTAAGTGACATATCCAGTCTTAAGGGTATGTCAAGTCAAAATAAGATTTAAATTTGGCATATTTAACTTCTAGGCTTAAATTAGGCATATTTATAAATAATCACTATCTATTACAAGTTATAAGTTTTATATTATATTATCCTAATTATAAGGCCAACATCTTACTGATACACAGTTGAAAATATGTTTACCTTTCAAAAACGCGGTCTTCATAGTATTATGCTATGAAAAGAGAGAATATATATAAAAGCTTTGGCAGAGATGAGCGATGTAATCACTCAGTAAAGGACAGCTATTATTTTTACAAGACAGCCTTATTTGATTTAGTAGGTGATTTAAGTCTACCTATCCCTCACCACACTAAGCCCATTGAGCTTAGTAGCATGAGAAATTCTACTTATTTACATACTAATTCTGTTAATGAACAGATAAAGCCCAATCTTGCACAGCCTTGCTCATGGAATAACAACTTTTCACCTGAAGAGTTAGTTACCTTCTCTCGGGGCTGAAGACAGTTTGTATCTCCCTTCGCTGTGGTCTTTTCTATATTATAATTATCTGTTTACATGCCTGGCTCCTTAGTGAATTGTGATCTCCTTGAGAAGAGGGACGATGTTTTCACCATTTCTGAAGTCCCCAGTACCACCAAATAATTTCTGATCATTAAATTAATATTATTTAAGGATTTGTAGAGTACACTTTTATGCCACTTATGCCCAATGTTGGTTTAAGTGAAAAAGTGAGAGTATTTTGTCCATACCACGGCAAACACTTCCACTTCAGCTGTGGATAGATCCTATCCACTCTCTTGGTCCATGAAGATGATAAACAACTGACTAGCTGGCTCAGCAACAACTGGCTCAGAATTCTGCTTTATGTCATCTGCAGCTGCCCAGTTTTATCATATATCCAAAAACACTTTGAATGGGTACATCGCTTATATACTTAATGTTATACCTTAGTTATTCTCACATCATTGGAACCATGGTTTGCTTTTATAAATAATCCTGTGCTGAGATCTTTCTACATAAATCTTTATCAGAGTTTCAGATTACTCCCTTGGGATAAACTCTTTAAAAAAGGAATCCTAGGGCTTCCCTGGTGGCGCAGTGGTTGAGAGTCCGCCTGCCGATGCAGGGGACACGGGTTCGTGCCCCAGTCCGGGAAGATCCCACATGCTGCGGAGCGGCTGGGCCCGTGAACCATGGCCGCTGAGCCTGCGCGTCCGGAGCCTGTGCTCCGCAATGGGAGAGGCCACAACAGTGAGAGGCCTGCGTACCGCAAAAAAAAAAAAAAAAAAGGAATCCTAGGTCAAAAGGTATAAGCTGCTTAAAAGCTATCAATACTTTTATCAATAAATATCAAATTACTTTCTAGACAGCTTGTACCAATTTACACTTTCATCCATAGTGTATGTAACTGCCTATTTTACAAACCTCTCACCAACATCTAGTGGGTTTTTTTAACTGTTGTTGATTTGAAAGGCATTTAATGGTATATTAATGTCAATCTGCTAATGACTGCATTTAAAATTTTAAGTCAAGAGAGACAATTTCAGACCTTCTGTTGTTGTTTTGGGGAAATAGTTTAAATTCTATCACTACTTGCTATTACTATTGTATTGTTACGAAAGAAATACTAAAGTGGTACTTAAAAACAGAGCCACATCTCAGCTGGCCCTCTCAACAAGTGAGGATGCTGTAGCTAAAGGAAAAGTGTACTGTTCTAGTCTAGACAAGAGTCAACGTGAAGCACTGGGCTTAGACAGTCTTTATGTCTCCGTTTCCTTTTCTGTAATGAGGATAATAATGCCTGCCATAACAGCTGTGTGAGAGTAAACTGGCCTGGCCTATCTGGATATACTTCATAAACCATCATGCACCGTTATATAAAATAGCTGAGACATTTTTCAATATTGGTACTACAAAGGTAGTTCTAAAACTGCAGTAGGCACTCATTTATTCCTAAGGTAACTTTCACTTGCATTTCCAGTAAGTATATTGTCTTTAGTCTCTGACATAACAAAGTCTTTCTTGCCCGATAATAGGATTACTAATTGACCGGTTCTGTCTGGTGGAAAAAGCCCCATTGGCTATTTGAAGGCATATCTTTCCAACTTGTATCTTTCTGCGGATTCTGAAAAAGTACAAGAAGCAATACAAGAAGGTATTACTTGGTTTCCTCTCTCCAGTTAATAAAGAGGACTGCACTAGTGTTTCATTCCATTGGCCTTCACATATGATTATGTGGTTTATGTCGTTGTTGGGTTTTCTGCTAAGGTGTTTCCACAAGTGGCAGCCCTTAAGTTTGTCTTTTAGAGCTTTCACCTTCATGGAGGTGGACATCTTCAGTGATTATCCTACACCCATTTTACACTTTCCCATCCCTTATAGAAACGGAGGCAGTACAAAGATGACTGTTTCGAGATGTGTGGTTGTGAAGAAGAGTTGTGTTGTCAGGTAATAGCGAGAGAGGAAATTCGAGGTCTGGGAAGAATTTTTTTTTTTTTAAATAGACACTAAAACATATGGTCCTAAGAAGAGTATTAATTAATTCCAACGGTCTTCCAGGGATCGCCTCTGCAACAATGTTTGATGGAGCCAAAGACATGGCTTACTGTGACACACAGCTCCGTGTGGCCTTTGATGGGGATGCCGTCCTCTTTTCTGATGAGTCTGACCATATTACCAAGGAGCACGGGCTGGACAAATTCTTTCAACATGAAGCACTATTTGAGAATAAGCCTCTTGCTCAGGTAGGTTCAGTGAGCTCTAATTAATTTTGATCTACTTATTTTCCAATATACCAATATATATATTTCTTCATTGTGATGACTTTTAAAATTTTTTAGGCAGGCCACTCCTCACTTCTTATCCTTTGTAGTTTTCTCCCCTTGTTTCATGAACTCCTCATTTTAAAGCATCTGCTGCCAACTTTTTTTTAATTTTAGTGTACTTTTATCTATCCTTTTGGAAATGTTTCTATGATCTTCTCATGAGAGTTCATCTCCTCCAAATTATGAGTAACAGAGGTAATACGGCTTACCAGTTAGCCACTTCTACATAATAGTTCTCAAAATAGTAAGGTTATTTCCAATAGGTCAGTAAACATTTGTTGAACCTCTCTGTCCATACCCTTAAACTCCATAAAGGTAGCACTTAATTGAGAAAAATCTGCAAAACTGAGAGTTTAAATTAAATCAAATAATGAGCTCCAAGCAAGTACAAAGTATGAACAATTAAAATTTTAGGTTTTTTGGAATCAATCCATGAACCGAAGTGTTAAAGTCATGGTCTAAAATGAACAAAACCTGCAATTTCTGAACCAAAGGAGATTTGAACATCAAAGTATTCTCCAAAACGAATATGAAACGATGGATCATTCAGTTTTAATCTATGAATCTTACCTAGGCCTTTCCTTTAAATTGGCCTTTTTTTTCTCAGCTCTTCTTGAACTTAAGATCTTAAATATTGTTAGTTTTATTACATTTATAAAAGTAGGAAGAGACTAATTGAAAGATGGAAGTTTTACTAACTCACCTCACATTACAGCAAGTGATATTTAAATTCTGTGTGTTTTTGTGTGTGTATGTTTAACTTCACAGTCCCTTCCTAAATAGCTTCTTTAGAAGTCTTGAGCTCATGTCAAAAAGTTGTTCAGTGTTAACAAAGTTTACTATTGAGAGGAAAACCCTTTGTTATATTTTGCATAAGTCTGCTTTGCTGAAATTTAGAGCCCATTGTACATTAGCCTTTAAGCATTATTAAAATGTTCAAGATCTCTAAAAAAGAGCACTTAAAAAGAAAAAAAAAACTTCAGAACAAGAATTATTTCAAGATAATCTTAAAATACCATTTTTTTCATCTCAGGGAAAGAATCCAAATTTCTTTTAGATTCTGTACTTATCAGTTCTTTGCTCCATATTTTAAAGCATTTTCCCCATTAAACAACTGAAATTGTGAAGTTCAACACTAGATATTGCAGGAATACCCAATGAATTCTTACTAAGCATACTTGTTTTCATAATGTGGTCCTTCTGACAGTGGAAAAATATGCTATTTTTCACATAGAAAGGGTAGCTTTCCTATAAAGACCAGGCTTTGCCAGATGTTTCCACTGATGAGAAGGAAGTTATGAGATATGATTCCTAACCAAGGCTTTCAACTATGTTGGTCATGGGGCTTATGGTTTCGTCATGACAATATCCCAATTGTCTCCAAAGGAGGAGATCTGAGAGTCACCAGCAAATGGACAGGATTAATTTAGCCACTCTCATTGTAGCTTATAAAGCCTCCAATGTGGTACCATGACAAGTAATGGCTGTCTCCTGATTTGATCTCTATCTCGTTTCACCATTCTGGGATAGTGATCTCCGTGTGTGTGTGTGTGTGTGTGTGTGTGTGTGTGTGTGTGTGTGTGTGTATGTGTTTTAATCAGAATTGTTGAGGTATACTTTATATGTAGTATAATTCATCATTTTTAGTGCACGGTTCTGAGAGTTTTGACAAACATATGTGTACAGTCGTGAAACCACGATCAAACTCAAAATACTCACAAAATTCCCTTGTGCTTCTTTGTAGTCATCCTAGCCCCCCATCCTCAGGATCTGTCAAACACTAATCTGATTTCTGTCCCTATAGTTTTGCCTTATCCAGGTGTCATATAAATGGAACCCCATAGGATGCAATCTTTTGAATCTGACTTATTTTACTTAGAATGATGCATTTGCGATTCACCTGTGTCATTCCCTGCATCAGTAGTGCGTTCCTTTTTACTGCTAAGTAGTGGTCTGTTCTATGGATGTACCACATTTTTTCATACATTTACCTATTGGAGGATATTTAGGTCATTTCCAGTTTTTGGCATTTATAAATAAAACTACTTTAAGCATTTGCATACAGGGTTCTGTGTAAACACAAAAATCTCATTTCTCATGGGTAAATACCTCGGAGTAGGATTGCTAGGTCACAGGATAAGTATGCGTTTAACTTTATAGATAGTGCCAAATTATTTCCCAAAGTCGTCACACCACCTTGCATTTCCAATGAAAGATTTTTTGCCCTGCATCCTTGCCAGTATTTGGTAATGTCAGTTGTTTTTCATTTGTTTGTTTGTTTTAAGCTGTTCTGGTGGTTACATAATTGTATCTCATTGTGGCTTTAATTTGCATTACCCTAATGATAGATGATATTGAACATTTTATCAAGTGCTTATTTGCCATCATATTTATTCTTTGGCAAAAATATCTGTTCAAATCTCTTGCTCATGTGAATTGGGTTGTTTTTTATTTCATTATTGAGATTTGAAAGTTCTTTGTATTACAATTCTAGATGCAAGTCCTTTATCATATATTTGTTTTGCAAATATTTTCTCTCAGTCTGTCCTTGTCTTTTCACTCTTTTAATATTTTTCAGTGTCCTTCAATGAGCAGAAACTTATAATTTTAATGAAATTCAATTTATCTATTTCTTCTTTCATGAATTGTGCTTGTTATATCATATCTAAGAAATCTTTGCTAACCCAAGGCAAAAATTTCCTCCTATGTTTCTGAACAGAAGTTTTTACAATCTTATGGGTTTCTTTTTTCAGAATTATTACCTGTTTGAGTTGATGCATTTGTGCAAAGTATTAAGGTTCATTTTTACTACTTATGGATATATCTTGTTTCAGCACTATTTGTGGAAAAGACTGGCTTCCTTTTCCTTCAATATAGGTATCTGTCCTTTTGCCATTATCACACTGTCTTGATTATCATACTTTTACAGTCAGACTTGAGATCTGGTGGCAGGAGTCCTCCAAATTTGTTATTTTTCAAAATTCTTTTGACATTTTGATTCCTTTGCATTTGCATATAAAGTTAAAAATTAGCTTGTCCATTTCTAGAAAAACATCCTGCTGAAATTTTTATTGTGATTATGTTGAATTTATAGCTTAATCTTGGGAGAATAGATATTTTAACAATATCAAGTTTTTCAGCCTATGGACATAGTATATCTCTCCATTTATTTAGGTCATATTTAATTTCTTTCATCAGTGTTTTGTAGGTTTCAGCATATAGCTATCACACAAAGTTTATTAGATTCATACCTAAGTATTTAATAACTTTTGATGCTATTATAAATGATGCTTTAAAATTTTTCATTTCTAATTTGTTTATTGCAAATACACAGAACCACAATTTATTTTTGTATTTTGACTTTGTATCCTGCAGCTTTGTTAAAATCACTTGTTAGTCATAATAAAATTTGTGTAGATTATTTAAGATTTTCTACATAGACAGTGTGGACTGTGAATAAAAACATGTTTCCAGGGTTTCCCTGGTGGCGCAGTGGTTGAGAGTCCGACTGCCGGTGCAGGGGACGTGGGTTCGTGCCCTGGTCCAGGAAGATCCCACATGCCGCGGAGCGGCTGGGCACATGAGCCATGGCCGCTGAGCCTGCACGTCCAGAGTCTGTGCTCCACGATGAGAGAGGCCACAACAGTGAGAGGCCCGTGTACCACAAAAAAAAAAAAAAACTTGTTTCCATTCTGTATGTCCTTTATCTTTCTTGCTTTATTACCCTTGCTAGTACATTCAGTACAATGTTCAATAAGCGTTATGAGAGTGGACTTCCTTGCCTTATTCCCTGATCTTAGAGGGAGATCATTCAGTCTTTGACTCTTAAATATATTATCTACAGGTTTTCTGCAAGTTATCTACAGGTTTTTTGCAAGATGCCCTTTGTCAGGTTAAGGGAGTTACTTTCTATTCCTGTTTTGTTTTAGAGTTTTATAATAAATCCATGTTGAATTTTGTCATATGTCTTTCCTGTATCTATTGAGAAAAACATGTGGCTTCTCTAGTCTGTTGAAATATAAATTATATTGATGAATTGCATTGCTGGTATAAATTCAACTTGGTTATGTTGTATTATCCTTTTTATATATTACTGGATCCAATCTGTTAAAATTTAGTTAAAAAAATTTTTTTGCCATTATGTTCTTGAGTGTTCTTTTCTTGTAATATCTTACAGAGTAATGCTGACCTTATAAAATGAGGTGGGTAGTATTTTCTCCCTGTCTATTTTCTGGAAGACTTTGTGTAGAGTTGGTATTATTTCTTCTGTAAATATATGGTAGAATTCTCCAGAGAAGCCATCTGGGCTTGGACTTTTCTATTTAGAATGCTTTTAACCAAGAGTTCAATTATTTTTGATAGATACAGAACTACTGTGCAGATTATCGCTTTCTTCTCTTTCCTCTTCTGGCAGTTTATGAGTTTGTCTTTCAAGGAATCTGTCCATTTCAGTTAAGTCACTGAATTAACGAGCATAAATATTCTCTCATATTTTACTATTATGACTTTACTATTTTTAGGAACTTTAGTGATGTAGCCCTTTTCATTCCTGATATTAGTAATATTTGCCTTCTCTCTTTTCTTCCCCTCTTGTGGTCAATCATGCTAGGCTTTAACGATTTTATTTATCTTTTTAATAACCAGCTCTTCCTAAGTTTTTAAAGGTGATTTGAGGCTTCTTTTCTATAATAAGTATTTAATACTGTAAAATTTCCTCTAAATGCTACTGTAGTTGCATCCTACAAATTTAGATAGGTGGTTTGTAATTTTTATTCAATTCAAAGTACTTTTTAATTCCCTGTAACTTTATCTTTGAGTTATGAGTTATTTATAAATGGGTTATTTAATTGTGAAATTAAATTTGGAATTATTCCAGATACCTTTCTGTTATTAATTCCAAGTAGAATTCTGTTGTAGTC